TATGTATGTATAGTGATTCTAAGGATCTTATTATTTGTTGGGACATGTATAACTTTACGATCATAAATAATATAATGGATGTCCACAAAGAATATTGATCTTTTTCAGAAGTTGGGTAAGAAGCCAAAAGTATCACAAGTATCAATGTTTCTTTTTAACTCTTGGAAGAATTGTAACAAATTTTAAATTCAAATACTGAATTTACGCTAATCAAATTCTAACCTTTGGCAGAGTATGACAAGAAGAAGTAAACTCGGAGGACGTTATTTTGTTGTATATATGGTCTACTCTAGAGTGTCAGTATGAGGATGCTGGATCGCAATGCTGTCTCTTGCAACATTTTGTTCTGGAGTTATAATATCTACACCACTCGGCAACAAATGCCTCCGGGAACAAAATGATACGATATATGAGTCTCGTGGGAGTCGTCGCAGGACGCGTATACTCTCTCGCCTACTCTACTTCGATGCCATACGTCTAGTTTCATCGTATTATATATTGAATAACTCAAGCTCATGTGCGCAGTTTTCCTTTAAACTACCATCGACTACATTCATACTATTTTCTTTTTGTGTAATACACATTGTCATTTCAGCCTATGCGTACAGAGAGTACTTTCAGCAAATATCGTCAAAAAGAAGGGAAGAATGAAATATCGTAGATGAAAATATATCCAGAAAAATACTACTTATATTTCCTCATAAAAGTCCTTTTTTACTTGAGTTATCATCGTTTTCTACATTCATTTACATTCTATAATTGCTCGTAGTATTTGTAATTACTTTATGAATGTTTGATCTTAAAAAAAAAATTTAAACAAAACCAAATATTTTTATAGACAAAGAAAAGTGGAATATGACATAAACTTTAATATAAAACATGAGTGTGATAAAAAATACAATATTACTCAAAAGTTAGTTAGAAGTATGAAAAAATGTACAAGATTTTTTTAGCGAATTTTTTTGCTCAGTTAATCAGTTTGAAAAATTAAATACGACTTTGGAGTTGAGATTTGTTTAAACTGTCAACTGGTTGAAATGTTAATAGTTTTCCGTCATAAGTAAAAAAGTTGGAAATTTTTTGATGTTTTTGGAGCTGAAAAATTTTTTTAAAAAAAAAAGTTCATAGTAAAACTGCGAATGAAATTTTTTGTGCTCAACTTAAGTGTACTAATATTATAATTATAGATTAATAAATATTTTTACGTATTAATTGTTGAGTAATTAAAAAATTGGTGAATAAACATTAAATTATTAAATTTGGTAAAAATTCCTACAAAGTGAGAAAGAGTTTAAATAAATTTGACAAGAAAAAAACATAAGTGGGAGGATGTACAATACTTCTTCATTTTTTCTTTTTTTCTTAAGAAATGAAAAGTTGTGTAATTATAATTGAATTTTTCTCGTCTAAAGGCTATTATAGCTCGATCTTTCAGCTTCTTTTATTTTTCTTATTTCCAACAGTTGATTTATATCAGAGCATTATATAGTTAATTAAAGCGTCTTTTTTACGCTAACAATTTATTTTTTCTTTTTTTCATGTTTTTTCGAACTTTTTTGGTTTTCTAAAAAAAAAAACGAATAGTCATGGCATTTAGAGTCATGCTGTTTTTCATCTTCTTTCTTTATTGGAGATGAGGGAGTCTCAAAGCGAAATACGGAGACGGTAAATACTTTGAACCATCTCTCGCCGTATACATAGACATTTGGCACTTCACCAAGTCCAGTCAGATCTGGAAGCTCTCTTTTTCTACATATATATTTGTCCTTCTTTTCCGCACCATTTTTGATCTCCCTTACACACTTGAATCCTATCTTGCTCTACGATTTGCACGAACGAAACGAAAACTTTCCGTATTTTACCTTTCTCATCTCGTTAGTTGTAGTACGAAAGAGTTTAGTTTAGGATTATTTGGCATCGTCAGGATGTCCTTTTTGCAGTTTTTCAGAATGAATGGGAGAGACGAACTTTTTACCTTGGTTATAAATATGAGTTTGTGTGAAGGTAAGAGAGAAAACAATAACTTTGTGACACTTGCAATAGACGACTATCTCATAAAACCAAAAAATATGATATCATTGCTAGTAGAATTTTCTCAATCAAAAATTGCTTCAAGCTATATATGATGAGCTACTGTAATTTAAAATACAATTCAATCATCACAAATTGTATTATACATTTTCCGTGATACTGATAAAAACGACGATTATCGATTGAATTTTCTGCACTGATTTAATAATAATTACTTTAACTCACAAAGTAAGACCTTTTTTCGTTAATTAAATTACTTTTGTGAAAAAAATCTGGTACGCTGTAGATTAACTGTTCTTTAGAAGTAGTGAATCAGTAAAATCGATTTTTTTTGTATTATCATCCAATTCAATGATTGAAAATGAGTTGATCACTTCATCTAGATGGCCCCTGAAAAAGAAGGATAGAAACATGTTCATTATCTTTAGTCAGAAAAATTTTTATAATGACAAAAAGTCGAATATATTATTTAAATTTAGAAAATGTAAATTATAATACCATTGTTATAAAAAACTAATCAGAAAAATTTCCTTATTCCCCAAGGAAATCTGAAATTCTCATATAGTAATTCCGAACTAGAAAATTGCAAATTTTCTTTTTCTACAACTTCATTATTAATTCTTTCTATGATTGATGTAAAGAATAAACCACTAATTTTTAACTATATTGCATGCATCAATACAGTTTCATATTTACCACAATTGAAGTTAAGAATAACCTAATTATTGTTGGGTAATCAGAAAGATATTGATCACAGCCCAAAAGCTCCTGTATTTGTCAGTGAACCAGTTGACGTTATAACCACAACACAGAACCATGTTCGTTAATGTCATGCCATTGGTTAGATGATTCTATCTCCAGAGTTGATAAATGGTGAGAGGAGATCGGGAGATGATTTCCGATGAATATTTCCCTTCATTCGACGTGAATGTCGAGATCTAAATTCCAGCAATGAATGACCTCACACTTCGTCAATTTACACATTCCAAGTAAGCATTTGCGGTGCAGCTTTGCTTCCCAACCTGGAAGTTTTCAATTGGATTCTGATGCGGCATTGCATTGTGAATCACTTCGAGATAATCATCACATCATATATGGAAGAATAACTGATCGTTTTTATCCTTTTGATGACATATTAATTGAACTCTGCAAATATAAAGCAATAATTAATTAATATCTTATACAAAAACAACAAAAGGTATAAATAATAATGAAATTCGATTAAAGTTTTTTAATTAAAAGTTATTACAAATACTTTTATGAACGTAAATGCTACGAAAAAGTAAGACTAATTAAAAGCATAATTCTAGTAATTATGATATTCGAACTTTATTTAAATAATTATCATTCAGCGCTTTTTATATGATAGTTAAATGAATACTTTATAAATAACTAATAAGTATTAAGCTTTTTAATCCAATTTTTTTCAATTAAATAATAGTTTATTTGTTTTAATTGAATAATGAAATTATATTATCTTAATCTAATAAAATAAAAAATATAATTCCGATATAAAATAAATTTTTAATTTCTATTTAAATTTATTTTATAAATAGAATCTTTAATATTTTATACCACGCTGAGATTATGTAAATTTAATCAATATTATCCATATAGGATAATTTTAAAAGTAATACAGTCAAAGAACTGATGCAGCCTTAAACTAGTTTCTCTAAAATTTAGAATTTAAAGTGTAGGTAGACCTTGACCAATAAGTCAAGGCAACTCAACTCAAGAAGCATTTAAAATTACATTGAAGATTGAGAGATGGTCTTAAAATATTTACCATCCCTAAAGGACTTTGAAACTTTGCACTGTTTGTAATTTGTTCAATTTAAACAATCATGATTAAAATTAAAGTTTAAGTTAAAATTAAATAATAAAATCAAAGTTTAGTTATAAAGTTTAATAATAAAATTAAAGTTAGCTACTATGAATGAAATCTTGAATAAAATTAAGGAATTATATTTACCATAAAAATCTGAAGAAAGAGTTGTAATTTGATCCGAGCTAATATTTCTTTTCACGAAACTTTATCATTAATTTAACCTTACTAAATTACATTTATTGCCATACTTTTAAAAACAATGATAATTGAGTTGTCAGTCCATTTCATATTTATCAAGAATAATTTTTTTACTTTCTTAATAATAAATGTTTGTATAAAGACTTCACTAAAATATGCAGCTTGTTTTCAGAAGATATATACAGTAGTAACTAGAATATTTAAGATTTCTATGTATGCTTATAAAGCTGATTTATGAATATATGTCAAGTTGACGAAGACTTCTCAACAGGAACATCGAGGATGCTCCTCTTAGTGTGTAGGTCGACTAATCCAGGATTTGACTTGAGTCAGCAAATGGAAGATACATAGGTATGTATATTTTATGTATAAGTCTTGAGAGGTAGACTATTGCAAATTGGCGAGAACTGAGAATTTCATTTCACATCTAACAAACTCTGTCTTTACTTGTAACATGACCTTTCAAAGTTCAATGCATGGAAAATTTAGAGAATTACTACATTAATGATATTTCCTCTTACAAAAAATCTTAAAATTCAATTCTCTCTTTTCACATAAAGAATTTTAACATCATTTACAAGCTTTGTAAATAGTTATCGTACTTTATACGGATATTGAAAGCAAAAGTTTGATATAAGTCTTGTTTGTGGTGCTCCGATCTAGTGGTTAGATAACACCTTAATGAGTTTGAAATGTAATAGTCAAGCTGTTTGTAGTTTGCTTTTCGTTTAGTAGCAATATAAACAATGTCCAGTATTGTTGTTTACTTTAAAATTGCTTTCGGCAAAGTTTCAATATGCAAAGTATTTAATTATTAAATGTCAAATTGAAAATGGTTCCAACAAATCTTCTTAAAATACATACAATGAAGAATAAAAACAATTTTTATTCATTTTTTCAGGTATATATAATATTTTTTATAGAATATCTGTGATGAAGTGTCCTTTGATGAATATTCCATCATTTTTTCTCACAATAAAAATAAAAATCTTGAATTTATTAGTTGAAAGTGTAGAATAGCTGCCCATAATTTTGAGATTGAAATCGTTAGAGTACATGAACCATCTAACTGTCAGAGAAATAGAAATAAATATGAATGTCAATTGGATGTTCAATGATTAATTTCACATAGATAAAAAGGATCAATTGATCATATTGTATCTGAATATTCTTGTATATTTTTTCATATCGACAACTAGTAAATTGTCCTTATTTTTCAAGAAATATTGTTATCAATGCAACTACTCAGTTCAATTTCAACGATATTACGCACTCTGTGAGTATCGATAAAGTACAAAAAAAATACTAAGCTCAGGCAGATAATCGATAAACCTCTGGCTCAAGAGACGTCTTCTTATCGTTGCCATACCGTTTTTGTCTATGCTTATGTAAAAAATATTTGCAAATCATGGCTTAGCTAATATTACTTATACAAGATTTTTTTCGTTTTTGTTAATAATATTTGTTTATTTTTTTAATTTATAAAATCCGGCATCAATTAATTACTGGCATTAATTTTTTATCGTACCTGATGAATAAGATCATCAAAATATCTTCAATACTTAATGAGCAAGATGGATCTGACTACTCTTTATAAAAGGTTTTGTGTAAGATGAACAATATGCATCGGTTTCAATGTTGAAGGTAATTATATTGATTTTCTAAAGAAACTTTTCCAATTTCCGTTTTTATTAATTATGTCATGTCTGGTTTGAATCATTCATTTCGTTTATCGAACAGAAGTTCGATATAAACTGCTATGACAGATAAATTGTAAATATGATATGTATTATATTGTATGTGAAATCCAGAAATTGATATTTGCTACATATAAGTGCTTTTAATTGTCAACAATTCATAAATAAAAAACCGATTAAGTTGAACTTCAATAAAATTGAATCTATAGAATTTTAAATGCAAAATTAAACTGATTTTTAATTCTTTCTTGAAAAGGTAGAAAGTAATTTAGAAATAAAATAATATTTTCTTAATAAAACAAATATTTCATTCATACCGAAAATCCAGTGATTGCTATTCTGTCTTTCAAATAACTTTTATCGTTTTACAATCTGTCTTTTCTCGTTGAAAACCTGAAAGACAATAAAAAAACATATCAATTTTTCTCATTTTAATATAATTTTCTAACCTCTTTATAGTATTTAATCAATCAGTAAAGTAGATACATCAACAACTGCAAATAATGAAGTCATTTACGATCGATATCAAGCCTAAATGTCTAGAGTCTATGGCATGTAATGCCGATATGTACCTTTAGGTTACGTAGGCAGCATACCTTCATCTATATTCTGTTTCAAACACGACCAAGTAGACAGGTATGCGGGTGTACAGAGCAAACGTCTGGCATCCAAAAATCCGTTGAGAATGAGAGAGAACAGTAGACATTTAGTATTCGGTTTTGTAGCACCGTTTTCGTCGACTCTTTGCTCGTGCTTTTTCATGGTAACTATACACCTTGAAAGAACAACAGAAAAAGAATAAAAAGAGCAAACCAGTGTGAAGCGTCTCTGGTCGCTTTAGTGGTAGAGTATAAGTATGGTGAAATGGACGAATATTGTGGTGCAAGGGAAAGAAGAAAGAAGAAACGAACGAACAAGTGAGGAGATAAAGAGAAAAAGATTATTGAGCAAGTTGGCTGTGAGATAGAAAGAGAGAAAATTCATATAGTACCGGAATCCCTCAACCTTTCTCTCGCATTCCCCTCTCCATCTTCTCATCCGGTTGCGAATGCGAGTAGAGAACATTCGCCTGACGACGAAAGAACGACTGAGGTAGTGAATCTTGTCGACCAGAGGGCGCACGGTGAGAGGATTCCACTGGCGGCAGAGTGGGGAAAGTATCGGCAGCGGCGCCGTCGCGAGGAAAGGGAGATGAACTTCTGATAGGGTGGTCTAGCCCGTCAGTCATTCCTGGACCGTTTTGAGGGTCACTTCGTGTTGATTCGTGATAGTGTCTTCGTTATTACGCGTGTCTGTCATCATTTATTCAAGTACAATCTCACCATTGCGCCATTATGTTTATTTCTCATTAAACTTACGTCAAAACGTTCGTGTGATAATCGAGTTACAGTAAGAAATAAAAATAGCCACGCGGTTTCTAACCTAATTCATCGACATGCTCTCCAACACCTCGTGACGCTGATAATTAATTGTAACTATTTTTAGTGTTTTTTTAACTATTTAAGTAATTACATGTCACGTGATAGTCTGCGAATGTTAGATTGTGTAATGTATTGAACAACTATTTATTCTGCAACCTTAGCGAATCAGTTTTTACTTCCGAATATTTACTCTTTCGTTCAAGGACTACTTTACGATTGATTCTTGGTGTTTATTTTTGTCTTTTAAGTTTCTTTGTGATCTACTTGGCATTACCTTGCTGTTTACAGTACATCTTAATACCGTTAGGCCAATGTATCTTATGTACAAGCATATAAGTTCAACGTACAATATTTTACATATTTTGCTCCGTTATTTTTATTTTAATTTTCATTTATAAAATACACATATTTTTATGAAAAAATTTCCTATTTTCTCTCAGATAAAATATTTTGTTTTTTCTCGATAGATTTACACAAATAAAACTGTAGCATGCTATGAACAAACGACAGTATGCATTTTTTTATTCGCACGTTGATTAAATCGATGTATGAAATATTTTTCTTAGAAGTTGCTGATAAAAATGAGAAAATTTTTTATACAACTCTTGTTTAAAGGGGCCACGTGTACACAATCGCGCCGGCTCAGCACGAGAATGATTTGCCATGCCCACGCGTCTTCTTAGCACACTCCTTATATATTTTTGTTGACATCCTGTGTTCATCTATTGTCATTCGTTTGACAATCAAAGTCTCTATGTGCATTACATTTATTTTCTGCATCCTTGTGCACGACTTACAGCTGTAATAATAACAAGTACCAGGTATATACATTGTTGTCAAATGACCGGTTCCGTGACGTGATGCAATCTTTATTTATTGTCCGTGGTTTACTTTGTGGCATTTAAAACTCAAATCTATTGGTAAACATTCTATTTTTTTTTCTTTTGCTCCTATAACTATTCAATGTTTTCATATAATTCAAGTTTTATTTCGTAGAATTACCTTAATAGGTTTATACAATAATAACCTGTCAATAATCACACCTAGTCAATTGTTTTGTGTTTATCAATAATACAATGTATGTAGCGATAAGTTAGAGATCGTAAAACTTATCATCTACTAAATACGTATATACAAACAATTACCGTTATTTTTACTCCAAAAACTATTGTTTTTTTTTTTAACATAATTAGGTATTTTTCTTTGAAAAAAAAATAAACAACCAATTTGTTTTGTTTATTAAATTAAATAACACGGAAATGGCTTGCTTTTTTAAAAAAAAAATTAGAGCATGTAGAAATGATACAGAAATTCAATTTTCCAGCAATTAATTTCTTTTAAATACAACTTTATTATTTACAAACACACTTTTTTAATGTAAATCGAAAGAAAAGTGTGAATTATTATAAAAAGGATAGCGGAAATGATTTGTTGGATTATTTAAAAAATCGGAGCATACTAAAAACAAAACAATTGAGTTTACAAACTGCTTATGCCTTTATCTCTATATTTTGTTTTTGCCTATTTCTTGCTCTAACGCGCTATCACGACATTGAATCAACGTGAACTGAACGATACGAAGCAGAAGAGAAACTAGCTATAAAATATCACATTACTCGATAGAGGAGAAATTTAGTTGAGACTTTGATGAAGCTATCGATTGATTTAAGCATCATCAGATCGACTGCACTATTTTAATAATGAATCGCAGAACACTCTAATTGGTATAGTTAGTGTGCTAGTTTAGAAACATCATTATCATTGGAGATCAGAAAATTAATATTCTTTGGCATCGAACTTAACAATACACTAAATAATCAAATTAACTTCATTAACAAACGTTCCCAACGTCTCTACCAATAATATATCGAATGCCTAATGACGTTAGAGTGCATCGTTGCATGAGAGAACATCCAGTATAAACTTAAATGTCCGCCCGTGACCTCGTCGACATTTCCGGTAACAAGTTTACCGTGAAGGCCTTCGACTTTTACCTGGTGCAATAATTGCAGAAACTAGCATAGGATTTAAGGTCGATTCAATCAATTAATTGTTGTGGTTTTAATTATTCTAAGATGTCTATTGTTAATGTTCATTATATTTATGGTAATGTTTTTTTCTTTGAAGTAATCCTTATTAATTTAACAATTCTTATTCAATTGAATGTATTGTACAATTCGAACGAAAAAGTAAACACTATTATTCCTAAACTCATTACCATTTTTGTTGGATATTTGTTTCTTCGTTTCTATAAACAATGATTAAATAGACGGTTTGATGATGAAATAATTGGTTAATAGTTGATAAGAATTGAGGATGAAAAGAACTAGTAATCGTAGATTGTCACGTTGGCATGGAAAAAAATTCTGCAACACTTGATGATAACGCTTGAGGCATCATTTTCAGCTCTGCTCAGCGGTACTACGAGGGAAACAGCCTGCGGGAGATCAAACGGGTCTATACGTGGGTATAAGATAGAAACCCCAAACAGAACAGAACCCCAAATATTTTACAACAGACGAAGACGGAATAGGAAAATGTGCACGGAGGAGTGTAAAGTAAACTGTTAGAGAAAAGTAAAAAGTATCAAACGCAAAAAGCCACAATAGATTTGGAGAAAATTGATCAATAAACTAGCGTAAAGTATGAAGAAAGAGAATAAAGTTTTCGAAATACAGTAGTGGTTTTGGGGGAGAGGATAAAAAATATTAATCAATGACGCAAATTGACAGATCAACACCGTTAAATCGACAGACGCAAATGGCTGTTATTGAGACTACTTTCTATTCTAAGCCATCAGTCGATTTAAAAACGTCCTTAAAAATATTTTATGACTCTGACATTTCTCTTGCAATGATATTGAGTTCATAGATATACATTCAAACCAGGAAAGACGAGTGAGCAGAAAAAGGAGCTTACAGTTGAATTGGAAGAAATATTGGAAAAAAGTCTCTAGTTTGGTTTCTCTACGAGGGAATCGTGACCGATCCCAGCCAAATGCCTTTTTCCTAGATGCTTGAATACCCAGGAAATCCGCAGTCTTTCCTGCTCTATCCCCAACTATCGGCGCTCTCTTCGTGCCGAGGGGACGTGGTCCTTTTGCTAGGCAAAACGTAAAGGGCAGGGTGAAGGACAAGGAAAATTGGATGAACAAAAAAAAAGAAAGGGAAAGAAGAAGAAGAAGAAGAAGAGATTTAAGAAACAAAAAGAGTACTACGTCGAGAAAAATTTATCATTCATCCTTTTCAACGTATAGGTCAACGCGACGAACCAAATCTGATTCAAATTCTTCTCTATTTCAACTCATCCAATGGCTCTCAAGCTCAGCAGATTGTCAGAGTGGTTTTACTGATTACATTTTCTCGAATGAAATTCTTTTTTAACTTACTACAATCAAGGAGACAAGGGCGACTAGTCTGGAATAAAGTTTCTTTCACCAAGTGGCAGAAGATCGGACGGAAGTAACGAAATATCTTGTGAAAGTCAAAGAATTTGACCCAAGTGGACTTGTACACTTGAACATTTCCAATAAAAGTATCAAAGTTACAAGAAATCGAATATACTGGACAAGCTACGGAGTAGCATTTAGAAGTGAGTATTTGAAGAAGTGAAATAAAGGGAAACAATTTTGCAGATCCTTAAAGGTCACTTCTGTTCATTCAGTAATCCACATGTGAGTCAATACTTGCAAACTGGCCATTTTAATTCAAGGTCCTTCCAAGAGACTCCTGCTGAGCGGTTAGATTCTACCAATTACAATTGGAATCTATGGAGCGGGAAGCAACACAGAGCAACGAAGACGCGTCGCCACTGGCGACACGAAACGCGTGACTCACGTCGAGCTGACTACTTAACTGTTTAAACGAACGGCCCGCGTTTCAGTTCAGCCGTTGACAGGCTCCGGGTTACATTAGTATTAATTTTTAACATGAAAGTATCCAAGTGACCACGTGTTGTCGCTTGATTTTTCATGCTTTCTACAGTCAAGTCAACTGTGTGATAAATTCAATAGACACTAATTTTATTTTTTTATTCTTTCGACGGGTTTCGATCATGATTTTAAGTCATTTATTCCGTGAGTAATTCGTTTAGTTTTATTTATTATTGTGATTAGACAAAGTGCAAATCAAAGTGGTGATAATATTTAGTTAAAGTGAACGATCATGTGTACCTACAAATGGATCATTAGTTTGAGTTTTCTCTTGCTTGTCACTCTCGAAGGTCGGACCAGAGCCTGGTCTAGCCAATGGGCTGCTCACATCGAAGGAGGTCCCGAGGTAGCACAGCAGGTAGCCAACGACCATGGATTCAGCTATCGGTCTCCGGTAAGTCATTATTATTTAATATTTTTTACAATTAAAAACGATAACAACCTGTACCCTTACGTAATTCCTGTAATTTTCTTTTTCACGAGTGAATGGCCAAGTTCAGCTGAAAAAAAATCATATTACTGTTGAGGTTTTTTTTTTTATTATCTTGTCTTTATAAGGTGGTACTTAAATTTGGTATTTCAACAACTTTTTTTTAGTAATTTAATTTGCTTTTATGATACCATCATTTTTCTTAAGACTTTCATAGAAAAGTGCTTAGCAAGATTTTATCGCAAACAACTCCAAATCATGGAGATTACATTTTTACAATTAAAAAGTATTCAATCTTTTAATTACACTTTTTATGTGTTGAACAGCTTTACACCTTATTTTAATAGTGTTGCAATCAATACAAGATATTGAAGGTTTTTTGTTTGCAAAAATTAAATCAGTTACTAATTATAAGTCACTGAACAAGTTTTAAAGATAAAAATGATTACATTTTTTTTCAATTATTTATTCATTCATTTCTTCTTCTATGTACTTCTTGTTTAAAGTTGGATTAATCTTTCAATTTCATCTCATCATCTTTGAGTAGAATGTATAAAAAATGATTAAACATTTTAACATGAATTTTGCAATAAATTATTGTCCATCATTCAGATAAGATAGAATCAATTTTTCCTCCAAAACACGTGGTACATTTTTGTGAACTCTGTATCCGGTTTCTTTGCCTTGAAGCGTATGAGGAAAATACCAAAAGTATATATTCTGCTACATGTTGAAAGTACCGAGTTATGGGTTACAAATAAAATTGTGCGATTGGAAACTTTTGTTGGGGACAAAAAAAATATCAGATATAGCAAAGCTGGAAATAAATGAAAAAAAATATATAGTAGCAAGGGAAGAGGATGGCAAAAAGGGATAGAAAAATGAGGAACAGGAAATTGAAGTTATAAAATATAGTACTTTTGTATGAGAATCGTGTAAATTTTTACGACATTATTTCTTGTTTGCACTGATAAATGAAAGGAACGTGGATCATATTTTATTTTTTTATATAATTGTATGTTCATTCATCAATGTAATGTTTGACTCAATGGAATTTATTTATTCAATATATATTTTTGAAATTGTAAATAATGAGAGATGATTAAATATTTGTTCGATGATGATTCCACACTTGGCACAAGATGATAACATATGGGAAGTCCAGTCAATCAATAATTTCTTGTTTCTCAGGTCAAAGTTCCCATTTCATTTCTTCTTTTATTCTATATTTAAGTTTACACATATGTATTCATTAGGTATACTTTGATCTACCATTCAATCGAGTAATCTTCATCGTAACCTCTCTGATCTTTAGATTGTCGACGTGACGTCAATGTTCAGTCTTGAAGAAAAATTTATCGGAATCGTGAATTACGATATCCAGATCCAAAATTGCGAAATACTGAAATTGAATAAAATACACTTGTTTTCTCTGCAAACTTGCGAAAAATAAATGGAATAAAAAATTGATTCTGTCAATCGTTCTTTTATTTTAAGGGCACGTAACAGACGGATAATACAATACAATTTTCAACCCACTTTTTGTTGTGTTAAAAAAAAAAACTGTTGTAGAAAGTGTGAGAAACCAGGATCAATTATTTCACTTTTTTATTTTTTATCAATTAAAAAAGAATTAATTAGTATCCTAAAAAAATCTATACATCACAAAAGAGATTTTTATGTCTCTTTAGAGTACAAAAAATGGTAAATTCTCATTAAATTATTTGATCAAGATATTAATTTTTGTCGTCTTTAGTTATGAAAGAAATATGATATTGATAAGATAAGTATAATTAACAAAACTTAAACTTTAATGTGAAAACATAATTTTAACAAAAGATTATTATGAACATTTATAATTACTGTATTGTTTTTATTTGATGACAATTCAATATTTTCTGCATAAAACCAATATTTAATCATCTATTTTAGATAGAAAAGCTATAGATTTTTTAATTAACGAAACATAACTTAAATTACTACGTAATAGAAGATAATTAAACACTCATAGTCTTGAATTTACACGTTACGTTTCTTTGTTTCGTTTATCATGCATGGACACAAGTCGTGCGGTGGCTTTTGAGAATTAAATATTACTCGTTTGCCTTGAAACCTCACATATACAAGTGTAACTAATACAATGGTACTTAAGTTGGCGTATACACAACGTCATCTCATCGAGTAATCATTGCAGTAACATCAGGGAGAAGAGACTAATCGTTCTTTTGCATTTTACGTGAGCATGAAACTTATCTTTTGTCATCTCGTCTAAACTCTTTGCTTGTTTTTCCTACTATTACAGTCAAAAATAACTACTTATTGTTCATTTATCTTGCGGAGTTTTAATTATCTAGTAGATAACATTTGTAAACGTTGTAAATAGCCTATGTATTTGTTGGATCCAAAAAAAAATATAACATATGAAATACTATTTCTTTAGCTATATAAAACAAACTATAATATTGGTTATGAAAAGACTCACTTAGTTGTTTATTCATCTTACTTAAATTAAAATTCTTCAAAATTAATGGATTATTCTTAGAATAAAAGGAAGGTAATTTTCCCGAAAACATTAATATTTTTTTCATAGTCATGTTCGGATTATAGATAAGTATAATTTGTCATGTCTGTTATGCTAATAAACACTGTGATCATTCATTTATAATCCCAAAATGTTCATTTGAATTTTTTTTATTAATAAAGCCATTTCATTTCTTTGATTTCTATCAAAATAAAATAAAGATCTGTCACGTGATATAGTTTTAATCTTTCATGGGTTCTGAATAAAAGTATTATAATTGTTTAGAAAGTCACCACTCCCAGAGCATGCGAGGTCAGGAAGGTGATAAAAGAAGGGTTGTGATGGATAGTGTTGTTAAAAGGAAATGCTATTCACTCCCTACTTAAAAAAAAATTACATTGAAAGATAAATTTTGAAAATCCGCTTTTAAAGAGTCTAATAAATTTTTGGTAATTAATTAAAAAATTATTTATGGTATTGTTGGTTGAAGATACAGTGAAAATTCAATTTAATTCGTTTCCAGTCGACTTGCAAAATTGCACTGTCTTGTTCTCATTAGTAAATCGTAAAATTAGAAATTTTGTATTGCATTTTTATCCCCGAGATCCGAATTGAATAGAGCCTTCATTGTATTATATAGAGGGAAAAAGAATAGCTTTAAGTAGACAGTTTTTAATTAAATTGTCTATGGCATTATTGTAGCTTTTTTTTTATCTTTTTTCATCAAAGAAAATATAAAATGTTACAGAATAAATTTCTATCTTCAGTATAATATTACAATGCAGTGTAAAACGGTAGGTGGTAGGATACAGGTTAAATTTCAACACTAAAAGCAGCATGGAAATATAAAAATACTATTCTTGTTCGACCTACAATTTCTTTATTCGTATCATTGTAACATTTATTTTAATCGTACCTGTAACATTAAACAGTCTTCACGCTCTTCATTTTCCATTTTTTTGTCGTTTATACATATACCTATTTTTAAACCACAAAGGTTTTTTATACGTACATGTATCTCGTTTGATTTCGTTTTATATTACATTTTATTCGCTCAAGTAGTAAGCAGGAATTGTTCTTTTCATGAGTAGGACAGAGACTAGACATTGAGATCAAATATAGTCAGGTATTTCCGAGATTCCAACTATTTTGTTGCATATCACGAGATGAAATAAAAGATTTATTGTATATAGTAGAAATGTCGAGGCAACAGAATCATTTTACTCCATCAATAAAAAGACTTTTATTTTATTTGATTGCATAAATAATCACATAAAATTTTATTATTCTTATCTATCATGATTGACACCACATAGCAATTAATTATGAGAGTTAAATTTTAAAAATTTATTCAATCGATGAGTGAACTATTTTCACCTGCACATTTATCATCATTATTTGAAGAGTTGAAAGGGATGATACATAAAAGACGGGTTGAATATATGTGTTGATGTAGGCAACTACAGACAGGAGATAAAAAATTAAGAATAGAAAGAATAGTAAAGAGGGAATACTCTGACTGATTTTAATTCCCTCTTTATCTATTCGATACTTTCCAAGCTTAGCCACCTTCGAGTGACTTTTAAGTGAATGCTTAGCAAATACGACTTTTCATTATAAAGGTCTTCTGAATCGAGTTGCATATTTAAACATACCAGTAGCCAAATAAACCATATTTGAGTGGAAATTTTTTGAAAATTAAAACAAATTTTTTGTAAGTCTTTGAAATTAATGGATGAAAATGAGGTGAAGTTTTTTTAAATATTATAATGAGTTTTCAGGATAAAAGTTATTTGATTATGATGATAAAAGTTCACAAAAAAATATTAATACAGCTTTGAATTTATGAAAAAAAAATTCTATAAAATATTAAAATTAAACAAATTACCATGTAAATGGTATTTTGTAGTAAATTTTCATATTTAAGTTGAGTAATTAAATCAAATGAATTCATGAATTAGCCATTTATTGGTATTCTATGCACGTATGCATTGAAATGCTTCTATATATAATATAGTTTTATGCATATATATTTATGAGAATATAAATGAATAAATTAGTTAATTCTATTGATCGGAATAAAGTTTAATGGATAAAAAAAAATAGATTGATTAAAAAAATTTTCTTAGGGATTTATGAATAGCCAGATATGGTAATCTTCTTTTCTTTTCTTTAGTTTGCAGAAGCTTTGTAAAATTGACTACGAGATTAACTTTAGTTTTGATAGCAGTAGTTTGAAGATAATCGTTGAAATTTTAATAGAGATTATAATTTTATAGATTAAAATCTTATTAAATATTTAAAATGAGATAACTCTTATCATTACCTAATACTAAATTGATTTTCCAAAATCATTAACTTTTCTGTCAAAAAATTTTACTACTTGGTAAAATAAACGGTCAAATTTAGCATTAAGGTAATGTTTTTTCAGTTAAAAATTGAT